TAGGGGATACTTTAACATTGCTCTGCTAGAAACGGAGCTATTCCCCCCGGCAAAAATTCCCCTGCTTAGTCTCCTGATCCACCACTACGCTGCATTCTCTGGTACTGTCCTCCTCACTGCACAGCAGCTTTTGCCAAGACCTGCAAACTGCTACCTAGAGCAGGGGGATGGAGAGACACCTCTTTTCAGTTATTGCTGAATATAATCAGGGCCTGAACCGGTCTGAAATTCTGACTGTGCTGAGTCCTCAGCAGGCTCTGTGGGCTCTACTCTATGTCAGAGGTGCTTGTTCCTGCGGTGGGGCCCAGGCACTCGGTTGCACAGCGCTGGAATCGATCACAGCCTCCTCTGGGGACGGCAGCAGAGCCGCCACGGAGCCAGGACACAGAGGCACTAACAAAGCCAGTGGTGGCAGCGCCTGGTCGGCCAAGAGAAGTTGTCAGGGCAATGCAGATTAGAAGCCAACTGGACGGCAGCCACAGTAAATAAGAGGATCTTCCAACTCAAGAAATTTGACCAAGAAAGACTCAGCAGAAATCCACACACTGTTTGGTGTGGCCATACAGGAAACCTGGGCTAGGAGTGGGGTTGGCATCTCTTCCCCCAGCTGATGGCACAACAAGGCCTCCCAGAGCCGGCCCAAGACCCCTTCCAGCTGCAAGCCTGGCTTCCCAAGCCCCACTCTGCTCTGCAGCCCAGAAAGGATGGGAAGCAGCAGCAAGCACCAACAGGACAGGCCCCTCCAGGCAAGGAGGGCCGTGGGGCTGGGGTACCCACCGCCAAGTCCCCGAGGTACCGCGCGAGCCGGGAGCGGTACTGCTCGGTCAACTCCTTCAGCCGGAGCTGCAGCCGGGAATTCTCTGCCTCCACCTCCTGCAGCTGGCTCTGCGAGGTGAGCAGCACCTGGGCACAGCACATGTTCACCAACAGCATCGGAAAGAAACAGAAGGGGACATCATTTCCAGGCATTCAATTCCACCAGGGCAGACAGGCTGGAAAGGGTCTGGATTTTCACAGAACCCTTCCTGAAATGCTTACAGTCCATATTCTTCTGCTATACCATCCTTTGCAATAGACCCTAGGTGATTTAACCAAGCCTTTCTTTTCACCATCAGTGAAAAAAATTCCTCCCAACAGCTGTGGCAAGGAGGACCTTCCCTCCGCGCACCTCGTGCCTCTGGAGAAGCAACCTGCACGGGGAGGAGCAGCTTGGTAGGACAGGCCTGCGGAGGGGGAGGCTTGTTGGGTACAGCCAGGAGGAGACACCCACCTCACTGCTCCCTCCAGCGAATTACAGGCACTGCCCTTGTGTCTCACCCACAGGAGGAGCGGATGAGCAGGGGCAGCCTGGGCTGGAGCTGGGGATGGGGAGGCAGCTGCCCTTACCGCTGACTGCTCCGCCAGTTTGTGCTGGGTGTCGCGGATCGCTCTCTTCGCCTCCCGCAGGTCCTTCCCCAGCATGAGCCTCGGGAAGAAGGGGTGTTTATGTTAAATCCCCAAACTGCTCTAGGGAGATGCAGGACTGATCCCTGGGACATGTTTCCCACGTGTGCCATTAAAGGTGGATCTTCCAAAGGGGCATAGGTCATGCAGGTACCTAAACAGTACTGACTTTGAAGTACATCCCTAACTCTCTTAAGGTTCTTGAAAAAATCAGACTGCTTCCAAGCCTCACTTCTAAGGATGAACGGTCATTTCCCACCCTGTATCCACCCACAAAGGAGATGATTCCTCCAATTTTCATAGGGATCAGATTCTACAGCAATGAGCCCCATAAATGCCTGGACAAACAACGGAAGGACATGCTCTCAAACACTCACACTCTCTCCTCTAGCTTCTGCTGCTGCAAATCATAGGTTTTCTTCATTTTTTCAAGCTCCACTTTTATGTGATCTTGGTTTCCAAGCAACTGAGATACAAATGAACAGAAAGATGAGATAGATGGCCAAATTAAACAGAAGGATTCTTGAAAATTAAGAGGATCCTTCAGCTGAGCAAAAATCTAGTTCCTAAAAGAAATACAAGGGAAAAGGCAGGTTTCACTGGGATGATCAACACACCAGAAACTGTGTTTGATCTGAAGTACAGGTGTCATTCTAACAAGTGAGATTCCCACACCACGGATTTTCTCGAAGATTTTCTCTTCTTCTTAGGAAGAAGACTTCTTCCCAGGAGAAGCTGTGAGTAACTAGTGGAGGAAACCAAGCCACTATCACACAGAATGCCGATGGGAACGAGGCAGGAAACACCTCTGTGCTCACTTTTGGGGGCTTTATCACCACCATAGTTTTCCCTGGGCACGTTCCCAACACTCTGCACCACTCTCCAAGAACCGGCAAGGAGCACCCTGGCCAATACCTGACTGGAGTCGCTCTCGAGACATTTGGCCATGAAGTCTCCTGACACTGCAGCTCTGTTCACTTTCCCTATTTTCGGTGCCCTCTTCCCTATCTCTGTTGCAGGATTAGGGCTTTCGGACAACATCTCCACTGATCCTATGGTTTTCCTAACTTGTAGGAAGCAAAAATAAACAAGTCTTCAAGCAGTGCGGAGCACCACCACAGGACGCTCCTCTTGCTCAGATGGCCCTTCCCTTTGCAGACATGGACGTGTTTTTAAACTCCTCCTTCCTTTTAAACTCCTGCCTCTATCCCACCAGCAGCAGTGACTGAGGGATCTCTTGGCTGCCCAAGAGCTGCAGTTATTTTAGGCTCCTTGCTTCACTACACAACTTAGAAAACCAAAGCAACAGATCCTCCACAAAATGCAAGTTAGTAAAAGGCACAGCCTGCTACATCCTGAATAAACATCCTGCTCAGCCTCCCCAAGGATCCAGCAGATCCCACACACTCACATTTCTCTCCAGCTTTTGCTGCTCATGTTCCGAGCAACTACATCTCCCGGCTGTTTTAAATAAGAGACCGAAGCCGACACCTATTAGAGCCCTATTCTCCAAGGGCCTCAGCCGGGTGACAGGGGCAGGGAGCTCCTTACCTTTCCCTCCCGAGCGGAGAGACGGGGCACGACTGCACGCACTCTTGCCAGCTCAGCAGAGGCTTCGTCTTCCCGGGCTTGCGGGTGGCTGCGGTTGTCCTGAGCAGGGGCAAGGCTGTTCCTGGCATTGGCCAGGTTGAGCAGTTCTAGGCTGAGCTCTTCATTCTTCATCACCTGCCAGGTCAAACCAGAAGGAAAGAGCTTCTGAAATGCTGCCCCTCCAGCCCCGCATGCTGTTTGTGCAGCACCTACCCGCTGCTCTTGGTGCGTACGCAAAGCTGGCACTCACGTCCCCTCCTGAAAGCAAGTTTTATTTTTAGTCCTCTCTCGTGTGTCCAAAGATACCAGTGGATTTTCTAATTCTTATGGAAATTCAGGGCAAGTATCATTGCCAGGCATCAGCTGTAGAATGCAGGACCATTCACTCATATGTAACCCTATTCCCTTGGCCTGTCTCACTTGCATTCAGATAAGGATCCTTGTGCCAGGGTACCGCAGTGCCAATCCAGTTGTGGGCAGAGCTCTGCCAACACCTCTCTGTCCCAACCTACTGTCTCCTTTATTACTCTATTTCTGCACTCCCCACGCAGCTTTCCAGCACTTTGGGGCATGTCTTTTCCTGGACAGTGGCTTCGAACAGTGCTGGACTACACAGTGCAACAGAGAACGGCCAAATATCCATCCACGTAGGCTGATGCCACCCAGCTCATTCCAGCTTTGTTGGAATGCACACCTCCAGAAGCAGAGAGCCCACAGTACGCGTAGGCAGTGAGATTCAAAGCAGTGCTGGTGTGAAGTGACACGTTTCCAAAAGATAAAGAGTATCTGAACGAGAAAGGCTGTTACAGGTGATCTGGAAAGAACACTGGGGGAATTCATGTCTCACGGGAGGGTTTCTATGTAGATAACAAAGCTTTGATGGGGTTTATGACTGGGGACAAGCTTGAGTAATTGTTACCATGGCAGTGAATCGGGAGGATGGGAGGCAGAGGTCATCTGAGTCATCCCTGTAGAGAATAGCTTATCAAAAGATAGCACAGGGTGGGCTGAAGGAGCGAGAACAGGAGAAAAGCGACTGACAAAGAGGTGAGATATACAGCTGTGAAAACTGACAGCGACGCAGAGACCGGCTGCTTGTTCCCCAACCGAAAACCATCCATCTGCAGCTGTCAGTCCTGACAATTCGATCAGAGGGGGTCACACAGGCGCAGAAGTACCAGCTTTTTTTGGCTAGCAAAAAGAAAGCAGCAGTCCCAGGTTTGTGATGGGCTTCTCTGCCTCCCATGTGCTCCAAACCCTGGCCCTCCTCCAGGGAAAACCCCGGCATGGAACTAGTTCATAGTCATTCGGGTCCCTCCGACGGCCTCCCTTTGCATCACCGACACAAACTGTGTAAGCCGGCTGGACAAAAGAGGAGGAGGAAATGGAGAGTTGAGAAAAGGTCAGAGTCTTGAAAAGGAAGAATTTACAGCAAGTTAGAAAACAGGCACAAAGTGACTGACTGGCATCTCATGCAAGGCACTTCCCCAGGGACAGGAAAGGCCAACTCAGCCGGTCTCATTTGCCTCGGATGGACACAGAGCGATTTGTGAATCGGGACGTACAATGGGGGTTGTAACAATTCAGAGACTCTAACTGTTCCCGTACAAGCGACCATGAATGAGTTTGCAGAGCTGCCTCTGTGCCAAGCAGCCATGACAACATATTGGCAAGGTCACAAGTAGCACTTGTAATTGGGAATGTGTAAAAGGTTCATTGTCTCCTAAGAAGAGCGCTGGGGACGGGGAGGGGGCAGAACCGCAGGCTCCTACTGCCATTTCCTTTGGGAAAGTCCACACTGGGAAAATAATGAGCAAGAGGCCCATACTGCGACAAGTCCTAACCTGCCAAGTCGCAGGCTCTTTCGCTTCAGGCAGGGATATTCAGTAGTCGGAGCCAAGAAACTGGGGTAAAACCCCGATCCCAGCAATTACAGCCAAAGATTTCTGCTTTGGCTTCTGATCTCTGCTTTGCCACTTTCTCAGATGTTATCGAGGCAAATAACTTAATCCACGCGCTTCACTTTTCCCTCGCATAAAATGAGGGCATTGATACCTAACTTTTTGAAACATTCTAGGACCCATATGAAATTGGTACACTGTTAACAGTCACCTTTTAAAACCATCATTTATACAAGTCAGCAACCTGAAAATCCAATTTTTGACTAACCTACTGCATCCCCTGGGGGAGCAGAAGTAACTAAACTTACTAAAGGCCATGAAATCCCCGTGCGAGGCTGGCGGCTCCGGGCCTCAGCCGCTCACAGTCGGCTCGCTCAGTTCTCCTCGTGCTCCTGCAGGATATGGAAGGGCCTGGAGGGGGGTTCCCACCCTGCAAGCAGCTGAGATTGCCTCCTCGTAAGGGTCGATACATCTCAGCTTACAGGAGACAACTGTGTTGGTGTGTGGGCGCTCTTCATGCATTCCAGCTGCAAGGTGTAACAGATGAGCTCAAGCTGGCTGCTCAGTTTGCAACTGGAGCAGGCAAAGAGCACGTACATCACTCACTGCCATGGCTGTGCTAAGAGGGGTAACCTCGCAAGAGTCACTAACCCACTCGTTTGCAACTGGATGATCACGGCCTCACATATCTCTTTACCTGAGCCCTGCAGAAGGATGTTCACTGTAAAAAGAGACGGACAGGCAGCAGGGAGGCAAGAAGGGGCATGGAGAAACTCAGTCTGTGTGGCTTTGTCAGCCCTGGCGTGACGTTCGGTGGCAACACTGCTTAAACCAGCATGCCTGGTCCCAGCCCCACATCTTCGTGTCACAGCTGTGCCCGGGGCCAGCACAGCAGGCTGTGGGACTGCACAGTAAACAAGGCTGTGAAGCTGGAACAGCTGAAATATCCACCAGGGAAAGGAGGGAGGAGCGTGTCCGTCCTCAAATCCACTTCGGAATGGAGGTGGGGGAGGGAGGGAGGAGAGGAAAGTCTAGTAAAGTAGCTATTCATGCCAAAGAAATACACAAACTTAGATCTGAAACAGCTTAGTTAATAATCACTAGATTAACAGTCACCAGGAAATTCACTGTATTTTCAGGGACAATCAGTGAGTTGCTTATGTCCTGTAAATTAGTCAGTTCCAAAACTTTAAACCCTTTTTTGCCACATGAAATGAGCGACTACAAATCAATTCACAGGCGGCCTTTGAAAACAACGCTGGAGAAAAAAGAAAACAAAGCACACTGTAAGTCAGAAGGGCCTGAAATACACACACTCCCAACAGACCTGCAGGGAACATCTCATTACTGCCAGTGATGGGGGTCTGGGATAACGTGAAAACAGCAAGACACTGACGAGCAGCCTGTCGCACAAGTCAGCGTGGACCTGGCCCTTCCTATGAGCATGGACTTGGCACTGTCCCCTGGAGCCCTGCTCCAGTGCCACACACCGCATGAAATCCCCTGGGTAACGAACCCAAAGAGAACTAAGTAGTGTCTAAGATGCCACCACGTGCCATCTCACCTCTCGGTCAAGCTCTTTGCCTAGTGCCAGGTAATTGCTTTTCAAGATGATGTACTCGTCTGCCAGCTCCTGCCGGCTGGACTCCAGGGCGCGCAGACGCTCCTGCAGGGCATCCCGCTCCCCGGTGACCTTCTCACCGGAGAGCTCCAGCTCCAGCACACGATTCTCCAGGGCCAGGATCTGCAGTGGGGAGGCAGTTACATTACAGGGACCAGCAGCAATTGCTAGGCATTCATTTGGTCAAAGTGGTTCTTGCAGACGACAACTCCCAGAATCACAGAATGGTTGAGGTTGGAAGGGACCTCTACAGATCATTCAGTCCAACCCCCCTGCTCCAGCAGGGACACCCAGAGCACGCGGCACAGGGTGGCAGCCAGGTGGGTTTGAAGATCTCCAGAGAAGGAGCCTCCACAGCCTCTCTGCGCAGCCTGTGCCAGGGCTCTGTCACCCTCACAGGAAAGAAGTTCTTCCTCACATGGAGATGGAACTGCCTGGGTTTTAATTTGTGCCCATTACCCCTTGTCCTGTCACTAGGCACCACCGAGAAGAGTTTAGCCCCATCTGCTTTACATTCTCCCCTCAGCTATCTATACATATTGATCAGATCCCCTCTTCACCTTCTCTTCAAGAAGACTCAGAGAAATGAACCTCACTTGAGTTTCATGGACCCTGGGACGATGGAGGAACTCACCACTCTAGCTAGAGCTACAAAATTACTGCAAGCAACAAGTAATAAACAAAGTAAAGACGGATGTGCAGGTAAACTACTGTGCTGAGTGAAGGTACACAGCAGAGACGAGATGAGCACCTCAGCTTTTACATACCATATTTTTTAGCTCAAAGTTCTCTGTCTCGTATTGTTCCCTCATTTTGTTTGTCTCAATCTGGAGATCAATGAGCTCTTTGGAAATCTAGAAGAGAGAAAGGACATTATAAAGCCCATATGCTGCTTCTTAGGCCAACATATTGCTTCAACAGGTCACACCAGGGAATTTAAACTCAGAGACTCGAGTGCTGAATGAACCCCCAGCTGCACCTTTCACCTGAGCAACAGCAAAAGAGAAACAGAGCAGAGAGTCAGGGACAGCTTCCAACAAGGCAATATGCTGTCCCTCAGATGCAGGAAATAAAAGTTTTTCCTCAATCAGGAAATAGTAAAGAGAGACAATCCTGGGGGCTTGGCCTATTTCAGAAGGAAGAAGTGTGGGAAGCTGTCGAGATAGTTGCCAGGCTGACATTATTGCAGCCAAAACACAGAGATCGAAGAAGAGAGCCTGGCTGTAAGGAACACATCTCCTTCAGAGAGAAGCACTGTCATTTCTCACCAGATTTTCCACTGCAGAGCTACTGGGCTCCAAAGGCTTCATAGCTCAGTTCTCTCCAGCTCCCAAGGTTTAGCTGAAGGTCTTACCTTCAGTTTCTCCTCTTCAGTGAAGACCAGTCTGGTTGGCAAATCTGTTTTGGAGCCAGCCAGCTTCCCCATCCTCTCCTGCATGTCTCCAAGCTTCACGTACAGTCTCTCACCCCTATCTTGCAACTGCACCTAGAAACACAGAACAGCTCCAGCAGCTGGTGCCAGTAAGCACGGATCTCCTCTCCTTCCCTTGCTATATTCCCATCACAACGCCAAAGGGAAGAGCACAACATATCCAGTGAGAAAATGCCACTTTACGCAGCTTTAACAGATTGTGGATGGGGTTGTGAGCTACCCTCTTCCTCCCAAAATGAGGATTCCCTCTCAGAGTGCTGGTTCACCGACCAGGGAAGGGCTGCAGACTCTCATACTTACATTTTCCTTAGCAAGATGCTGCACTTGCTCTTCCAGAGCACTCCCATTCTCATTCCCTGGAGCACCTCCAAAATCCATGTGTTTGCAGGGTCAGAGCTTGGAGGGCAGGACCTCTGCAGGGTGTTGGGCAGGCAGAGACTAAAAAGCAAAGGAAGGGTCTGAGGATTTCTGTGACTGGAGCATTTCCCTCCGGGCACAGCGCTAGGAACGTTGCTACCAACTTTGGTTGCTAGTGGGTGTAACACCCACCTTGGACGTAAGGTGGAGCAAATTATTCCACTCAGCCCAGGCAACAGTAGAATAAGCGACACTTTTCAGGAAATATCCATCTTCTAAACCAGCACATGGCAGGTACTTTAAACAAGAAGCTTAACAGAACACTCCCAGTGAAGTAACACGACCTTCAGGAAGCCCTACTCAATTTAGATTACGCACAGATCGAAACCTCAAATCCGTGCCACAGGAATGGCCTCAGTTTCTGCTGCAGGAAGCTCGGCAGAATTTCACATCTGGATATAAATTTAACAGCTCAGGCTGGTCTCCCACAAATCAGGCCACTGGTTTCAAGATTGTCCAGGATGTCAACTTGCTTTCACGCATTTTTTTCCTCATCTCTACAGTACTTGTATCTCCCATGTCACCAGAGACAATAAAACAATTAGGAAAACCCGATTAGCAATCCAATGGTATCAGCACCTTTGAGCTTTGCCCAAGATACAGCTAATGAAAGCAGCTCCTAAACTTACTACTTAGCACCGCGGATGCTCTGTAGAAAACCGGGTGAATTTTGAAACAAAACACACACTGAAATAAGCTCCTACAAAAGACAGTTTATTGTGGAGATTAAAAGATCCCCCAGGAGAAATGAAGAAGTTGTGACGAGCGCTGCAAGTTCTCCAAGGAAGCGCTGCCTCCCTTACAGCTCTCTCAGTCATTGCCACAGCTGGACTTTGTCTCCCCGCAGACCCAGAGGAATTCATACCAGCTCGTTGGCCAGTGCTGGCGGCCGAGGCGCTGAACCCTGCTCAGCCCGCGCAGCGCCGCGCGCGGCTCCGGGCAGCGCTGCCGGCACCGGCCGAGCGCCGGCCTCGCGGGCGCCTCCCGAGCGGGGATGGACCCACCACCCGAGCGGAGCCTCTCAACAAGAACCGGGCCGGGGGAAGACAAAGCGGGTAATGCCGGGAAAACGGGTGGATGAGTGTCATGGGATAAAGGGGATGCCAGCTCTTATTCCCATTTGAGCTTGTCTTCTCTGCTGCTTCTGCTGAGCATGTGAGTTGAATTAAGAATTTCTCTCTTACAGAAAAAAAAAATAGATTTGAATGCACAATGTTCAAAAATGCGGCAGCTCTGAACAACACCTGATCACCTGCTGAAGCCAAGGCTATAGAGGAGGAAAAGAGGGGCTGTCCTGAGACGGGTGCGAGCGGGAGCCTCCAGCTCCGGCAGGGCCGGCCCTGTGGGCAGCGACCCGTGCCTGGCCCCGGCTGTGCCGAGCTGCCGCGGGAGCCCCGGGCTGCACCGGCACCTACTGCTCTACCTGCACCTACACCTGCAAGTGTACCTACACCCACCCCTACACCTGCAAGTGTACCCACACCTACACCTGAACCTACAGCTAACACCTGCCTCTGCACCTACATCTATACTTACACCTATACCTACATCTATACCTGTATCTATATTCAGCCTACACATACACCTATACCTACACTTAAACCTGTATCTACGCTTAACCTACACGTACCCCTACACCTACACCTAAAGCTGCACCTGTACTTGCACCTATAGCTGCACCTACAGCTGTTACCCGGGCCCCGCTGCGAGGTGCCCCCGCAGGCAGCAGCCCCGGCCCGGCCCGGCCGCTCCGCCCGGTTCGGAGCACACGAGAGACTCCAACCCGGCCCGGCGAGACCC